CCCCGGTCAGGGAGGATTATCCAGGGCTCTGGGGTGTGTCCTCCACTCCCTCCGGGAATTCGTTTTCTGCAGCTGTGATAACAAATCATCACACCACAAACCCAGCAGCTTTGTGAGACAATGGACACCCATGTATTCTCTTCCAGTTCTGAAGGTCGAAAGTCTGAAATCAGCTTCACTGGGCCGACATCAAGGTGTTGGTAGGGCTGCCCTCCCTCCGGAGGTTCTAGTGGGGAACATGCTTCTTTGCATTTTCCGGCCCCCAGAGCTGCCTCCTTCCTTCTTTGGTCTCTGCCTCCATCTTCCAGCGTCTTGTTTCTGTGGTCACAGGACCTGCTTCTCCCACTGCAGTCAAATCTCTCCCTGCCTCCCTCTTATAAGCACAGTCAGCTCCACTTAGGGCCCACCCAAGTAATCTAGGATGCTCTCCCTATCTCAAGACCCTTAATTTAAATACTGGTAACAGCCAAGACATGGAAACAACCTAAGTGTCTCTCAGTGAATGAACGGATAAAGCAAATGTGGTGTCTATACACGGTGGAATACTATTCAGCCTTAAAACAGAAGAAAATCTTAGCATTTGCAACAACGTGGATGAATCTGGAGGACATGATGCTAAGTGAACTAGAGCCAACACAGAAGGGCAGATCCTTCATGGTATCGCTTATATGTGGGGAAAAGCCCAACTCATAGAAACAGAGTCGAATGGGGGTTTCCAGGAGCTGGGAAGTGGGGAAAATGGAGAGAGGTTGGTCAAAGGACAGAAAGTTTCAGTTATGCTGGTGAATATATGATGGGGTCCTGATGTATAGCATGACTACTCTAGTTAATAATACCGTATGGTAGACTTAGGATTTGCAAAGGCAGTGAGTCTTCCATGTTCTCACACTTACACACTATTGATGGGAATATAACATAGTATGGAAAATTAATTATGGAAAACAGTATGGAGAATTCTCAAGGAACTAAAATTCTCTACAGCAATCCCACTACCAGTATCTACCCAAAGGAAAAAAGATCAGTACATTGAGAAAACACCTGCACTCATAATTTAGACACACACTACATTTTCATAACATTTATATACAATGTACATAAATATATAATTCACATTTATGTACAATGTATATAATACTATATATAAACATACTATATATTGTATATATAATATAGTAATTTTGTATACAATACAATTTTATATTACATATATTATATATTGTGTATTATATTGTGTATATATAATACAATAAATATACAATATACTATATATACAATATATGAATATACAATATATTTACATGGAATAAAATATTTTTCAGTTATAAAGAAGAATGAAGTCACCTCTTTTGCAGCAACATGAATGGAACTAGAGGTCATTATTTTAAGTGAATCAACTCAAAAGCAGGAAGTCAAATACCACATGTTCTCACTTATAAGTGGGAGCTAAATACAGTGGACACATGGACAAAGAGCGTGGAATAATAGACACTGGATGTTCAGAAGGGTTGGAGGTTAGGAGGGGTTGAGGAATGAGAAATTACTTAACGGGTACAGTGTACATTATTTGGGTGATGTTTACACTAGAAGCCTGGATTTCACCACTGTGCAATATATCCATGTGACAAAACTCCACGTGTACCCCCTAAATATATACAAATTTTAAGAAATATCTTACACACACACACACACACGTGACTATGTGAGGTGATGGATGTGTGAGCTAACTTGATTTGTAATTATTTCACAGTATACATGTGTATCAGAACATCATGTGGTACACCCTAGATTGATGCAGTTTTGTCTGCCAAGTACTTATTTGCCAATAAAGCTGGGAGGGGAAAAGATGCTTAATTTGGTCACACCCACAAAGTCCCTTTTGATGAGTAAGATAACGTTTACAGATTCCAAGGATGAGGATGTAGATATCCTTGGAGCTATGATTTAGGCTCCCACACTCCCCCAAAGACATGTCCCAGTTCTTGTTTAGGATGAAAAGTAAAGGACTCATTGCCTTCCCCCAGGAAAGCTAGGAGACAAGACAAGAGAACAAAGTTCTTCCATTGAACTTGGTTCTTCCCATCAGCGCTGGCATGGAGGAGCCACCTTGCACCGGGCAGAAGTTGAGAGCCTGGGCTCTGGGGCCAGACTCCCAGGGCTGAATCCTAGCTCTGCCCTTCCTGGTAGAGGAACATAGGCAGGCTCCCCCGCTCCCGGCTTCCTCATCTGGAATGTGAGAACGGCAGTGGTGCCGAGCGCTGTGGTTGTTCTGAGGATGAAACGAATCCACGTTTGGATTCCCTGAAAGGCGGAACCTGTGATGTGCCCTTCAGAGTAGGCGGTTTATTTGGGGAATGATCTCTGGATGCAGAACGAGGGAATGAGCAGCAAGACAGGACACATTTCGGAAAAGCAGCAGGAGGGGCATCACTGAGCTAGGGCGCGTGGTGAGCGACTTCTGTGGAACCCCATGGAGCCCCTCTAGGGAACTCTGCAGAATCCACCCCGTGCCTGCAGCGGGGAAAGTGGTCTGCGCATGCTCTGTTGAGGACGTTCTCAGGATACACCCGCGTGGGAGTGAAGAGAGTAGGAGCGGAAGAGGAGGGGCCAAGCAAGGTCGGCTTCCGGTGCAGTACAGTCAGCTCCCGGTGCAGTGCAGTCAGCTCCTTGAGCAGCTCTTAAGAATGAGCTGTGCTGTGTGTGGGTCCCTTCTTGAGGCAAACAGCCTGGGTTTCTCACCCTCCCAGGTAGTCACTGGGCAGAGAAGTGGGGTGAGCAGGACATAACTCCCAGGTAACTCTGAGGGACACAGCTCCACTCACCTAAGGGCAGTCTGCTATGGAGGATGTGGCAGGAGCTGTCGGCAACACACTCGCAGCCCCTGGGGAGGAGTCCACCAACCTAGCCACAGGGACCCCAGGAAGCCTGAGTACTCAGAGAGCACCTATCATAGCAGCGTCTGCTATACTCAAAAGCAACAGCCAATATCTGCTTCATACTAGGACCTCCTCCCCATAGTAAGTGACTTCTACCAGCCAGGGTGCTTCCCTTTCCTCCTCCTTGGGCCATGCAATGGGATGAAAGCTCACCTTCCCCTCCCCTTTTCTCTCTCACCTCTTCACAGGTTTCTGACAGATGTGACTACGTCTTTGTCAATGGGAAGGAAATGAAAGGCAAGGTGAACGTGATGGTGAACTTCACCTACCAGCACCTGAGCAGCCCCCTAGAGATGACGGTGTGGGTGCCCCGACTTCCGCTGCAGATAGAGGTCTCAGACACCGAGCTCAATCAGATCAAGGGCTGGCGAGTGCCCATCGTCTCCAGCAGGAGGTGGGTGTGCCCCTCAAACTCCATGACAGGCTAAGAAGTGTACAGGGTGGCAAATTCGGGCATGACTGGGTCTGAGGATGCATATGGTACCCTAAGGACCAAGTCTTCCTCCACCACTCAGCTTTGATTTGCTCTGTGTTGGCTTCATTCTCTATCAGTGTTTTTTGGGAGGTTCCAGGCTTTCATCCTGTCTTCTCTGCAACTCCAACAGGAGGTGCCTCCTCTCCTTCCCACTAGTTCCAGCAAAGTCCTGGATTTAAGTCTTATCCTCACTGGGATTTTGTGGCCTCCCTTATCTAGTTACTGTAGCCAAGGCCCTGGAACATACTGAGTAGCTGGACTCCCCTAACTAGAGCCAGAGGAGCTAGATGAAGAGGTGCACCAAGGCTGAATGAATGGACAAATTCTAGGAGGAGGGAAAATTGATGCTGGAAAGAAGAAGGCAGCAGATGTTCCCTGGAAGGACATCTGACAGGGTCAGCCTGACCTGAGCTGCCTCTCTGTGCTCCAGTCCAGAAGCTCTGAGCTCTCTGCCTTGGTGAAATGAGGTCTGAGCCTTGTCCACTGAGTGTCTGATACATTACTCCAATGGTGCTTGGTAGAGCCCCAGGAGTCTCCACCATCTACCATTGGGAACCACGTGAGTACCATGTAAAGACAGTGGTAGGAGCTCAGGCTCTTCACTCACAGACTTTGTCATCTCAGAGAAACCGTGTATAAGAATTCAGGTATAACCACATGTTGATTGCTAAAAGTATATGCGTTATGAGACAAGGAAATATGCCTGGAGTCTGTGTACTCGGCAGGGGGTGGAGAATTGGTGGTCATCTGAGGGATAACTTATATTCCCTCCCTTGCAAGCTCATTCCTTTGGTCCCATGACCCCTGGGAGAGGGGATGCTTCAAGGACGAAGGCTGTGGGTCTCAGGGACAGTTGGGAGCTGGCTTCAGCAATGATTCTTTCTCAGTCGCTGGGGTTTCTGGTGTTGAGTTGAGGGCATGGATTAGAGGGTGACGGTTGGTGCTGCCGAGGGAAGAAACTGTAGGGGAAGATTCACCAGAGACCTGGTTGAGTCTCACCGCAGTACATCCCATACGCTGTCACAGCTGCCTGGTTCAGACATGGCAGCGGAGTGAGTGTGAGAGGGAACAGCTGCTGTTCTGATGGAGACTGAGACGGTGCCATCAAAGGGCCGACTGCACAGAAGGGACCAGATGTTGAGGGAGCAGCTGACATCTGTCTCCTTCCAAGTATCCTGGCCCTCTCTGCCTTTCTTATCACATTTGACCTCACCTTGGGTTACATATTCACCTGCTTTGTGTGCTGGGTTACCGAACCACACCATTCATCCCTGGCCTTGTCGTGTTAGCTATATCCATTCTGCCTAACATAGTGGCTTATCCCAAAGCTTAGTGGGTTAAAAATTATCCCCAAAGTTAATGTGGCTTACAAGAACAACATGCCGGCCAGGCACGGTGACTCAGGCCTGTAAGTCCCAGCACTTTGGGAGGCCGAGGCAGGCGGATGGCTTAAGCCCAGGAGTTTGAGACCAGCCTGGGCAACATAGCGAGACCACATCTCTACACAAAATTTTAAAAATTAGCCGGACATGGTGGCTTGCACCATAGTCCAAGCTATTCAGAAGGCTGGAATGGAAGGATTGCTTGAGTCCAGGAGTTCAAGGCTGCAGTGAGCTGAAATTGCACCACTACACTCCAGCCTGGATGACAGAGCAAGACCCTATCTCAAAAAGAGAAAGAACAGCATGTTTATTGAACAGTGTCCGTGGATCTGGAATCCAGGCATGGCTGAGCTGGGTCTTCTGAGCAGGGGCTCTTACAGGCTGCAGCCCAGGTGTCAGTGGGCCTGGGGTCCCGTCTCAAGGCTCATGTGGTGAAGGATCTACGTGCAGGCTCACTCGCGTGGGTGCTGGCTGGTCTCATTTCCTCGCTGGTGCTGGCCAGAGTTCACTCTCAGTTTCTAGCTGGCTGGAAATCTCTACAGCTTGGCTCACAGCATGCAGCTCGCTTCATCAGAGTGAGCAAGTGCAAAGAACCAAGGAAAGAAAACACAAGCAAGACAGAAGTCACAGGCTTTTCAAGTCTAGCCAAGAAAGTGACCATCCAATCACTTTTGCCCTAACTTTTTCATTGGACGAAAGAAACTAGGTCCAGCCCACACTCAAGGGGAGAGGTTTACACAAAGTAGACACCAGGAGGTGGGGGCCACTGGGAACACCTTACATTCTGCTGGCTGCACCGGCCTTGCTGATGGGACTGGTCATGCCAGAGCAGTAGTTAGTATGTCAGGTTCACCTCTGCATGTCTGGATGTAAACTCCTTGAAGTCTCATGGTCTCCTTACCTCTGCAGCCCCCACCAGGCTCCACACACAGCCCCTTACAGAGAACCAACAAGTAACTGTCTGCAAACTGCACTGCCTCTTTCACAGGCCTGCTGGGGACAGTGAGGAAGAGGAAGACGATGAGCGGAGGGGCCGCGGCTGCACCCTGCAGTACCAGCATGCCATGGTGCGGGTCCTGACGCAGTTTGTGGCTGAGGCGGCTGGCCCTGGGGGACACCTGGCCCACCTGCTGGGCTCAGACTGGCAAGTGGACATCACAGAGCTGATCAATGACTTCATGCAGGTGGAGGAACCCAGGATCGCCAAGCTGCAAGGTGGACAGATCCTGATGGGACAGGAACTTGGGATGACCACCATTCAGGTAAAAAAATAAAAATCCCCAAAGCAAGATCTCTCTGTCTTCCCACCTCTGCTCCGCCCAGAGGAGAAACCAGCTGTTTGTCATTGCTGGGAATGGTATCTATTTTTAGGATGGCTGACTTCAAAGAAATTGTCAAGTAAACAATACAAGTGATGTTGGCTGGGTGCAGTGGCTCACGCTCGTAATCCCAGCACTTTGGGAGGCTGAGGCGGGCAGATCACCTGAGCTCAGTAGTTTGAGATTAGCCTGGGTAACATGGCAAAACCCCATCTCTACCAAAAATACAAAAATTTACCCGAGTGTGGTGGTGCGTGCTTGTGGTCCCAGCTCCTGGAGGCTGAGGTGGGAGGATTGCTTGGGCCTGGGAAGAGGAGGTTGCAGTGAACTGAGATCGTGCCACTGCACTCCAACCTGGGTGATGAAACGAGATCCCGTCTCAAACAAAACCACAATACAAGTCATGTAATGATGTGATGAGAATCTCGAAATTCCTCCCATATTACTTATAGGTGAGAAACTCTGGGCTGACTCCCATGGTGGGTCATGCTTGAAACACACTATTTTGCCCAAGCCGTGGTGGGCGTTACTATCTTGGGAAACAAGCTTTTGAGGTGAGCTCATGTGATCTGAATCACAGGCATGGCCAGCAATTTCCTGCTGAGCCACTTTCCGCCGTCGAGCGTGGTCACCTAAACCTTCCCATGGCTTCAGGATATTGTGGCCGCCTCTACCGAGTCACAGCCGGCGGCCTGATGAGAACCTGAATAACTCAGACATGTGCTGAAGGAAGGAACGAAGTTATTATGCCTCCTTTTGTCTCGTGGGCCCCTTCTGCTGGAGAGCGGGTGATGGAGAGGACCAGCCACAACACTCAGGTTTTGAAACAAACACTTTTACAAAACAGTGTTCTGGAAGGCTTGTAAGGGCTTGGTCGTTTACCTCCCAGCTGAGAACAAAGTAGGAGTTTGTTTTCTTTCTGTATACATGTAAGGGGTGCAAGTGCAGTTTTGTTACCTGGACATATTGCGTGTCTGCCTTGTTAGCATAGCCATCACCCAAATAGTGTACATCGTAGCCAAAGGAAAAGTGTATTCCTCAGCAGCTGCCCCCTCTGCAGGCAACGCGATTGTCTTATCAGGCAATCTGTGAGGCTTCGAAAACAGCTGTGCATGAGGAATCATCATAACTGAGACTAGATTGGATCGTGGAAGATTTAAAACATATCCATTCTAGAAAATTGGCTGGTATATCTAAAAACTTCATTTTATCCAAGGAGGAAAATAAATGGGTTTGGGCTGTAGACCAGGAGTCACATACTCTAATGATCTCTAAAAGCTGAGAAGCTACCGTCAGTGAGGAGAGTAGGCTGGGTGTGTGCTGAAAGACAGCAGCTGATTTTCCTCTGAGTGTTAGAGAGACAACAGGGAGTGGTGGGGACTGTGGAAAAGAGGCAAGCTCTTACAGCCAAAAGCTGCCAAGAAGAAATGCAAGTCCACTGCAGCCATATGTTCCAATTTTCTAGAAAAGCTGGAAGTCTATGTTTTTATATGAAATCTTCCAGCTCTCTAAATGATGATAATTCTACCTTAAAATATGACTTTTGTCAGACAAAACATATCTGCCTAATGGATGAGAGCTTGCAACCTCCATAATTGACTAAGAAGTTGAAAGACCTGAATCCCTATCATAAATCTATAGGCTAAACTGAAACTGATGTCCAGAAACTCAGTGAGATGAGAATTTGGTATTAACATCTTCCCTTAAGTGACAATTGAAGTGCAAAGGGGAAAAGACATACCGTTCTGAAATCAGGTGTCGGGGAAGAGGAAGTGGGCCAGCTTCGCACACGTTAAACGTGAACATTATTTTGGTGAGGCATCTACTCCTGCGAGCCTTGGTTCTTTTTTTCTTTTTTCTCCCTGCGTCCTCCTGAGTCATAAATTCACTAGTCCACTTTCTTCTGGGGACGCATCTCTCCTGCTCGCTGCCATTTAAATTGTCCCAATCGGACCGGAAAGTGAAGGTGGCGTTCAGATAGAAGTATGGAGCTTTGATTCCTGGTCTTAAAGGGTCCTAGGAAAACTGCTCTCTTGACATACATCATAAATATCACCAAAAACTTGAAAAGAGAAAGAGGTCAAGAAAGCAGGAGAACAGAGAATGAAGCCCTTCCTTTGCAGAAGGTTGAGTTACACCGGGCTGCGAGGCATCTAAGACAGCTCTTTATCGTTGGGACGAAAGGTGAGAGGAGGAAGAGGTGATTCCACAGACATTCCTCAAAAGCAGGATTAATCCCAGCACTTTGGGAGGCCGAGGCAGGTGGATCACAAAGTCAGGAGATCGAGACCATCCTGGCTAACACGGTGAAACCCTGTCTCTACTAAAAATACAAAAAAAAAAAAAAAAAAAAAAAAGGATTTCCTGTCCAGGGTCTAAACTGCACATAAGCCTCATTTTCCAGGTCATTCCAGGTGTCCACAGGAGAAATGAGGCTTTGGGTTGTTGGCGTCAGGCATAGACACTCAGAACCTACGTTTATCAGAATATGCCCGACGATATTCCACATCATCAGGCATCATACGCTGTGTTTCCCAAAGTGTACAGTGTGGCCTCCAGTGACACACATGATTGAGATGGACCAGCAGGATCCACCTTCCAGTTGCACATTGGTTTTCGTGTGCAAGAGAGAAAGCCGTCAATATGTAACCAGTACACCCAACCCATTGTTCGCTGGTGATAGAAAGGCTTTTGAAAAAACAAATTTTAGTAAAATAAATACTTTTAAACAAAATACACACTAAAGAGTAAAGAGACGATCTGTGATGTAGAAAAATCATAAAGTTAATAGTCAAATGAAAATGTCAGTTCCTCCTGTCCAGGATGGAGCATGGTGGGAAATGGAGCTGATGTGTGGGGTGTGGGGAGGGGCCAAGCCCTGCCTGCCCACTACTTGACACCACCTCGCTTTACGCAAAAAATGCTTTCCATTTTCTCAAGCAAAATATGTGATTTAGAAGGCGGTGTCAGTGGGAAAGACCTGTTCTCATTCTTTCTGGCTCACACGTTGCCCTGTCGCTGCCTGAACACCTGGCACTTCCTCCTGCAACTGGAGGCAGTGCCTGGACCACAGAAAGCCTTTCCTTGTCCTGTCGCTTCCGCCCTCCAGATCCTGTCTCCTCTGTCAGACACCATCCTCGCTGAAAAGACCATCACCGTGCTGGACGAGAAGGTGACCATCACAGACCTCGGGGTGCAGCTGGTGACGGGGCTGTCGCTCTCCTTGCAGCTCAGCCCAGGAAGCAACAGAGCCATCTTTGCCACTGCAGTGGCTCAGGAACTTCTGCAGAGGCCAAAACAGGTATGGAGGAGGGCTTGAGACACACTTCAGCAGGGGTCCCACACCAAGGGGATCACACACCAGGCAGGCACCACGCCAGGCGGGTCCCATGCCAGGCAGGTGGCACAGTCGAGTGGGATCACATATCAGGTGTTTCTCCGTCTGCAAAGGGCTCTTATGAAGCAGGTGACTGCTCTGCCTCATGTTTCCCAGCTCCCTCATGCAGAGATGAAAAAAAGAAATACAAATATACATAAGGATTGCAACATGTAAAAATGAGAAGCCACTAAGGGGCAGGAGCCCTGGAGGAAAGGCCCGCCCCTCATCCACCACAGTGCAGGTGCATGTAGGTGGTCACCTGTGCTCTCCACATCCTTCCTGCTTCCATGAGGGCATGAGGGCACGTGCAGGCTCACAGCAGGTGCACAGCCTGCTGCCAAGGTCCTGATGGAGCGGAGCGTGACAGACCTGCTGAGTGGGGAGCCCGTGGCGGGACATCGCTTCCAGACCATTCATTGTTCAGCTCAAGGCAGAAACAGAGAATTCATGGGGATGTCAGTCACAATTTTCTTTTACTTTATTTGGAACCAGTGTGAGCTAATAGAGTGTGTTGTGTGTTTCTGTGTGTTGTATGTGTGTATTGCATGTGTCTATGTATGTGTGTTATATGTGTGCATATGTATACATGTGTTGTGTCTATATATGGGTGTTGTGTACATATATGTTGTTTTTGCTTTGTGTGTCTATGTGTATGCATGTGTGTGTCTTGTGTCCGTATTTTGTGTTGCTTGTTTTGTGTGTGTTGCATGTATGCTTGTGTTATATAGGCACCTCTATGCATGTATATGTGTTGTGAATATATTGTGTTGTATGTATGCATTGCATGTGTCTGTGTCATGTGTATACATATATGTGTGTGCTGTGGGTCTATGTGTGTCATGTATGTTTTTGCTTTATGCGTGTATATGCATGTCTGTCTTGTGTCAGTATTTTGTGTTGTATGTATGTGTTGTATAGGCACCTGTGTACATGTATATGTGGATATGTTGTGAATGTGTTGTGTGTATGTGTGTGGTGCATGTGTTTGTATGTGGATACAATGGCTTACAAAGGGGACTGTTATAGGGGACCTTTGAAAGTAGTATGTTCTCCCTCATTAGAGGTAGATAAACATTATTTCTTAGAACATAGGAATTTGGGTGAAGCTCGCTTAACAACAAAACATGGTGGTTGCAGGTCATTAGTTCTTTGTGCCCTATGAAAAGGGATCATCTTCATGTGGGCAGCTGGAATCCCTCCAGCCCAAATGGGCTATTGTTCTGACTGCTTCCCTTCTGGATCCAGAGCCTTTTCTGCACACTCTCCCTCAGCAGGATGAGGTACCAGGCCTGCCCTGCTTTCGTGCACCAGCAGCGGCTGTGACCATGTTCAGAGGAGGCAGGAGTGCCACACTGGACTTGCCAAGAGGCACAAAGCGCCTTCCCACTTTCCCAGCCTGCACCTGTCATGTAATGCTCCCCTCTCAGGGATGAGCTAATCTCCTAGTCCTTATACTATAGTCTTTGTTTGCAGAGTTTTGGATTAGAAAACACTTGAAAGTGAATGATCCCAATAACAGAATTGAATTTTTGGGCAAAGCAAACCTCCTTTTCTCAAGGAAGAATGCCAGCCGAGAGGCAAGTTACAGATGGCAATGAAGAAATAACCTGAGGCTTTTCACTGTCTTTGTGGGTGATAACATCAGCTGACCACCAGCTAGGCGTTAAGGAAGGGATAAGATGCAGCTAGAAGGCCAGAAAGCTAATCCGTTCCTGACATGCAGAGCTAAACACGCTACCCTGAGATTTGCTCCATAGGTGGTTTGCAGGGCTCTCACTCCCTGCCTGCAACTTGGCTCTGACAGTGGTAGTTTCAAGAACTCCGTTGTGCATTTGAATGCTCTGCTCAGATTTCGTGGCAGATTGAGAGAACCTGGTAAGTCAGTGTCACGTCCAGTAGCTTTTGCACTGTGCCTTGGCAAGGTTCTCCACTTAGCAGGGAGTCCAAGCCAATGTCTAACAGCGTTAAGTATTTCTTGGCTGAGCTGAAGGAAGGAGCAGAGGCCACCAGCCACATTTGAGGAGCCTTTCTTCTTACTTCCAAAGACTAAATAACAACTGTGTAAAATTACTTCTGTCATGGTCAGGGGCCAGTGGGTTGTAAGAAAAAAAGTCCACCCAAGGAAAAGCTTAAATAACAAAGGATGTGTTATGAGGATTGGAGGGATCTCACAGAACCCAGCTGCAAGACCTTGGAGGAAAGGGAAGGTCAACACTCTCATGCCCACTCTCTCTCTCTCTCTCTCACCTGTGTTTTTACTTTGGTCTAACTCATTATTGTCTTCCTATGGATAAATGCCATGCCCAAACATTTGCTTACACGTAGTCCACAAGAGGGCTTCATTCCCAATTTTATATGAGCCCCCACCACACAGCTTCTCAACCTGACTTTGCCAGTCTTGTTTTTCTGGTTTCAAGTTTGAGACAGAAAGAGAAAGAGAGAGAAGAGAGGGACAGAGGGTGAGAGTCATGCTGGCTGGCTCAGCGTTGCTGAGATTGATGGCTCTAATGGCAGCAGCTGTCTCGTTCCAATCAGCTGTTGCTGTGGCCCAGCGGGCAGGGTCAGGGGCCGCCTAGTGCTGTTCATCATCTCGGGCTTGGGGCGGAGCAGGTTCTCCGAGAGGGAGGGAGGGGGGAGGAAGCAATGGATCTGCCGCTGCGCTGTCAAGCATAATGACATCTTCACCAAAATTAAAGGCTGGCATGAAATTGGAGGTCATCTCCAGTGATCTGCCCGGTCAAACTGTTTGCAAAGAAAGTTGGTCTAAATCAACAGAGTGAAAACAGCAAGAGACTGAGAGGTGCACAAACCCCGGCTCTGGCTGCTTTTTGGTCTTCCAGTTTCCTCCAGTTGGGCTGGGTGAAGAAAGAGACGAAGACTCTCCAATCAAGATGCTTTCCCTCTCCTGTTGTCAGGCCTAACTACTCCCTTCAAGCCAAGACTATGTCCTGAGATCAGGACATATCTACTCCTGCAGGCTCAGAAAAGGCAGGGCTGGCCAAACCGCAGCCTGCAGCCCTGCAGTGGGATCTCATCTAGATCAGACGCTTTTATCTGTGTTGCCAGTAATCAGTGGAGACTTAGTATTACAACTTATAAATAATGTAATAAATATTTTTCATTTGAATGCGTAACACTTGTAAATGATTCCACTCACCAGTAATTTCCTTTGTCGTGCAATTTATTATTGTTCAGAAGTCGATTCTGAACAGCCCAAGGGCCCATCTTCCTTTTAACACCTACGGGAGGAAAAAAAAAACAAAAAAGCAAAATCTTCTTATGGATTGTTTAATACCGACCCTCTTTTGTCATTTCGTTGTTTTATTTTGCTTTTTTGCATCTTTGTGAGAATTCGTTTTCTTTTATACTCTTGGTACTTCTCATCGCTTATTTCTACACTGTTTGAAAGGCTTGTCTTTGTTCTCGTAGCAATATTTTTCCATAGTGTGTCTACTGTACTAAGACTTGGGGCTCAATGAGCCTTTTGACCCATTTTAATTAACTTACATATTTTTCTCAATAGGAAGCAGCCATCAGTTGCTGGGTCCAGTTCAGTGATGGCTCAGTCACACCCTTGGATATTTATGATGGGAAAGACTTCTCCTTGATGGCCACATCTTTGGATGAGAAGGTGGTCTCCATCCACCAAGACCCCAAATTCAAGTGGCCCATCATTGCTGCAGAAACTGAAGGACAAGGCGCTCTGGTCAAGGTGGAAATGGTTATTAGTGAATCCTGCCAGAAATCCAAGCGGAAGAGTGTGTTAGCTGTTGGAACAGCAAACATCAAAGTTAAATTTGGCCAAAATGATGCTAACCCCAACACCAGTGACAGCAGACACACAGGGGCAGGGGTTCACCTGGAAAACAATGTCAGTGACAGAAGGCCCAAAAAACCATTGCAGGAATGGGGGAGTCAGGAAGGACAGTACTATGGCAGTTCTTCCATGGGACTCATGGAGGGACGGGGCACCACGACAGACAGGTCCATCCTGCAGAAGAAGAAAGGCCAGGAAAGCCTTTTCGATAACGACAGCCACTTGCAGACTGTCCCCAGTGACCTCACCAGCTTCCCAGCCCAGGTGGACCTCCCCAGAAGCAATGCGGAAATGGATGGGAATGACCTTATGCAGGCATCCAAAGGGCTGAGCGACTTAGAAATTGGGATGTATGCTTTGTTGGGTGTCTTCTGTTTGGCCATTTTGGTCTTCTTGATAAATTGTGTGACCTTTGCTTTAAAATACAGACACAAACAGGTTCCCTTCGAGGAGCAGGAAGGGATGAGTCACTCTCATGACTGGGTTGGGTTAAGCAACCGGACAGAGCTGTTGGAGAATCACATCAACTTTGCCTCCTCGCAAGATGAGCAAATCACTGCCATTGACAGGGGCATGGATTTCGAGGAAAGTAAATATCTCCTCAGCACAAACTCCCAAAAAAGCATCAATGGGCAGCTGTTCAAACCTTTAGGACCCATCATCATCGATGGGAAAGACCAGAAAAGTGATCCCCCAACATCCCCTACCTCAAAAAGGAAAAGGGTGAAATTTACCACCTTCACCGCCGTCTCCTCCGACGACGAGTACCCCACCAGGAACTCCATCGTGATGAGTAGCGAGGATGACATTAAGTGGGTCTGCCAGGATCTGGACCCTGGGGACTGCAAAGAGCTGCACAACTACATGGAGAGATTACATGAAAATGTGTAAGCCAGACACACGCAGACATTGGTTCTCACTCACCTTTCAGCCTTTAATTCCAGGATGTGTAGCAACGGTGCCCCCGGAAGAGAAACAAAGCAACAGGACAAAATAAGGATGACACTGTCCATGGAGCCTCAGCCAATGACCCCGGTTCAGCAGCGAGGCCTGGAGTCCGCATCGACACACACATTCCAGAGTACAGTGTCTTGCTTAAGAGGTTTATCATGCATGGCAAGATTTTTCAGACTTGAAACAAAAACGAGTTTGGAATCACTGAGCATCTGAGTTTCCAGGAAAGAATAGCCTCTCTCTCTCTCTCTCTCGAATCAAAGCAATTTGGATATTGTAAAATCCACATGGCTCCAATATTCGATATTGCAGACTACGGGAGAAAAGCGCAACTCAGGTGGAGCATCCATGGATCAATGGGAGGAAGCTGTCCTCGAAACCGGAGCAGCACATCTCGCTGTGAGCGAGATCACGGGCGGTCCAGTGCCGCCGTCTGCTGGGGGAGGCATGACTGGGAGTCATTGTCTCTCAAAGGCTGGGCCAGAGCTGGCTCAGATCATGGGCAGGCCAAGGCAGTGGCTGACAAGGACTGAAAGGGAACATGTGGGCTAACAGGCCACAAATACCTTTGTAACTACATGCCAAGGACAAATACACGGACACAAATCCTCTGAGCCCTTCAGGGCACTTCTTTATTTGTAAACTAAGGATACTGGGCATAGAATTTGAATCAGGTTCAAAGAACCAGGCTCTTTTGATTCCTATCAAGTTCACAATGTATCCATTTCTATTCCTCCACTGCATTGCCACCCTCCCCAGAGCCGCTGGTCACCCGTGGGTGGGGGAGGGAGAGGGCAGTTTCTAGTGTTAGCTGAGTCTTTTTTCTCCCTCTGGGTTTTGTGTCAACTCCCAAGTGACATTCTATAAAGAAGCTCACCCCACAGACCTGGGCGTATGTCCCACGCTGTCCGTCTTTGAAGAGGCTGGTCTCTGGGCATGGGCGGTACTCACAGTGAATTCCACCCCAGGGGATAGACACTCCCTTGCTTTTCTAGAAAGAAAACAGGGCCACTTGGGACGGGTCTTTCACTGTTCATGGCAGATCTCCTGTCCAAGAATGTGCCCTCGAGGCTGTTGAGACAAATCTGGGTGCCTGTGTGGAATGTGCAGGACGTGTGGAGTTGGGGGGTTCTGGGTGTGAACGCGGTGGGTCCAGTAGGAAGCCTGGCCTCGCACACACCGTACAGCACAGAAGCCTTCTTCGCCTTGGAGGTGTGAAGGGATGAGGGGCGTCTGCGTGTGGTGGAGATGGAGGTCTGCAAGCACTTGGTCCTGCAGTCAGCCCCAAAAGGTTTCGCGTTGCTTGAGATCAGCATGACTCAGGACATCCCTGAATCCCCTCACTTATGGAGCCTATGAAGATGGGGAGAAGGAGACATCAGCAAATTCCTGCCCCATATCACGCTCGCTCCAAGGTAGAGAATGGTGTGTTGGGTGCCAGCCAGATAGGATCCTGAGAAAGATGGTAGGGGGCAGCGGGTGGAGGGCAGAAGAGGCCGTGCTGTTGAATCCATTCCATTTTTCACTCTTTGTCATTTTCTTTCTCTCTGCTCTTTCGATGTCTGTTTTCCAGTCTTTCTCTCTGCTCTTTCGATGTCTGTTTTCCAGTCTTTCTCTCTGCTCTTTCGATGTCTGTTTTCCAGTCTGTTTGTGTGTCTCTGTATCTCTCTCCTCCTTTGAACCTATCTCCCTGCTTCCTCTCTGTCTCTAATTTTGAGTGTGTGTCTTTACACCTTCTCCCTCTCCATAGAATTGAATTCTCTTTAGATCATGTGTGTGTAAATTTCACCAGTCTACCCTTCCAACCTTAGCCCTCTCCCCTGCAACTGTGGTGCTATCAGTTTGCTCTTGAGACTGGGGTTTCTGCAGCCAGTAAGTCACCTGCTCTTGTCCGCAAGCTTACCTACCTTGTTTGGTTGGGTGATTAAGCTGTCACCCCTTTTGATGAGAATCCTTTGCTTTCAGTAATGTCCTCATATTTCTTTCCATTCTTACCTGTGTCATGTTCTGTTGAGTAATGCAGCCACTGCCCGCTCCCAAATCCATCTACGTGTAGAATGTACTGTAGATTGTAAGAATGTAATATATATTTATAAACTTACTGACTGTAAATATAAAGTTTGCATTCAGTGGCTTTATGACTGTCCTTTGTCCTTCTCCATGCTGACCCCCTCCAAGGGGCTTGCATCAATCGCAAATGGCTCTGCAAAAGCTGTGACTCTAAATGAAATGCAGATTTAAGGATCCCAGCACAATCCAATTACACCCTTACATCGTGTAGTGCTGCCCTCTGCATCGAGGGGATGTTGACACGTGATGACAAAGTGCATTGTGTACTAAGTGTCTCTCCTTCAGGACCTGAAAGGATTTGCAAATAAATCACACGTGCAATCCTCTCCTAAAAGCCTACTGACTGATAGTGGTAAGTGGAAACTGTGGCAGGCAAGCATGTATTCCAGCCTTCTTTTGGGCTGGAGTGAGGAAAATTTTCCGTCCTTCCTTTGGGTCTTGAGTGTACATACACACAATAACTCTGGGCTGGGTTAAAAAGTTGATTGTAGATTCCTTTATCAACTGCAGCCCCAAGACAATTCTACATAACAAGAAGTTGCATGGATTCCTTATATTCATGCAAACAATAGCAAGTGATAGATCAATCTTTTACTCAGCCAGTATTTACTGAGCAGCTACTCTGTACCAGGAATAGCTGCGAGCACTAGAGACAGAGTCATACATACAGCAAACGCACATGCACTTTCAAAAACCTTACTTACATCTATTTGAGTGGGGGGAATAAACAGCACACAAAATAATTTCAGATAGTCTGGGGTTTTTGTTTTTGAGACAGGGTCTTGCTCTGTCTTGTCGCCCAGGCTGGAGTGCAGTGGCACAATCTCAGCTCACTACAACCTCTGCCTCCTAAGCGCTGAAGTGATCCTCCCACCTCAGCCTCCTGAGTAGCTGGGACTACAGGCACATGCCACCACACTCAGTGAACTTTTGTAATTTTTGTAGCTATTGGGGGTCTTGCTGTGTTGCCCAGGCTGATCTTGAACTCCTGGGCTCAAGCAATCCTCCCACTTCGGCCTCCCAAAGTGCTGGGATTACAGGTGTAAGCCACGGAACCCAGCCAGTCATAAGTTTTGTAAAAGACAATGAAACTGGTTGCAGAATGGAGAAAATTGAGGCAACATTCAAAACTTTGATAATTTCACCTTAGAAATCTAGATTTCTAGCATCGCTTGAGAATTCAGACACTGGCAAAATGGAGCTGCCAATCTGACTTGGCCCCAATGGGGCAGAGGTTCGAGTCCTCTCCACCCATGATGTCTTCTGGACCCAGAGTTGACCAGCTCCATTTATGCTCCATCTCACCACTCTTCTAATAGGTGTTTCTCCCAAGTTACGGCTCTACCCAAAAGTGGGGGAAACAGAGAGGGAAGGAGCCATGTGTTTTCAAGATCATTCAGAAAGAGCTCATTGCTTTATGAAAGGGAAGAAAATTCCTGTGTGTCTCCTAGGCAAATATAGAATGTCATTGTCCACAGAACACAACTGAAGATGCCATTACGATGCAAACCGTCACGTGATCTGTGTGCCCAGAATCCAAGAAAGAACTGATAGGAAAATCTGAACTGAAATGTCCACGAGGTGTCTTTTCGAGTGTGAATAAATAAGTGATGCGGGTGGTTTCTCTCGCACCTGGCTGGTTCGCTCTCTGACGCCACCTGCGGGGCCCCTGGAGGCACTGAGTTTCCCAAACTCCCAAGGAAGATGGTGCTGGAAGCTGGAGGGCTGCCGGCCTCATCAGCATCTCTGTGGGGGTCTGTCCCTTGCGGCTTCTCAGTTCCCTCCCTGGACTGAGGTTACAGGTACTTTACCATAACTAAGTACCACAAACTGGGCAGCTTAAATCACAGAAAGGTATTGCCTCACTTTTCTGGAAGCTTGAAGTCTGAGCTCAGTGTGTAGGCAGAGCAGGTTGCCTCGGAGGGTTTACTGGGGGAACTCCTGCAGGTCCCTCCCAGCTCCTGCGGTTGCTGGCATCCTTGGTAGTCCTTGGCTTATAGAAGCATCACTCTAATCTCTGCCTTCAGCTTCATGTGACAGACTCCCTGTGTGTGTGTGTCCAAATGTCCTCCTTTTTGTGAGCCGGGGATCTCACTTTGCTACCCAGGCTGGAGTACAGTTGTGATCAACTCTCACTGCTGCCTCAACCTCCTGGGCTCAAGCAATCCTCCCACCCTAGCCTCTCAAGTAGCTGGGACTACAGACACACACCACCACACCTAGCTATTTTTTTTTAATTTTTTGTAAATATGGAGTCTCACTATGTTGCCCAGGTTGGTCTCAAACTCCTGGCCTCAAGCAATCATCCTGCCTTGGTCTCCCAAAGTGCTGGGATTACAGGATAAGCCACCGTGCCCGGCTCCAAATTTCCCCAAGGAAACTAGGGCCCACTGTACTCCCCGTATGACCTCATCTCAGCTAATTACATCTGCAGTGACCCTATTTCCAAACAAAGTCATCTTCTGATACTAGGCGTTAGGACTTCCACTATGAATGTGGGGTGGGGGAGACACAGTTCAATCCATAACACCAACCACTGGTCCTAAGGTCCTAGGCAGCTAAGCCTGTGCACAAGCCGAGGGCAGCCAGTTGTGACGGCCCTGGCACTGGGCTGGTGGGGCCCACTGGCCTTCCAGGAATGTGTCTTACCCCTCAGAGCCTCACCCTACCCTCGGTTTCACACCCATTTTACAAATGAGTCTCTGCTAAGGACACCCTGGGAGTGTAAGTGAACAATTTATCTTTTTCCTTCTGGGAAAGCTCAGAACTGTGAATTAATTACCCAGTTGGCACTTCCCAAGGTGCAGTCATTAGCTCCTTGCCACCCTTTATTTTGCCCTTGCAGCAGCAAATGATGCTCTGGCAGGAAGATGGGTGAGCCCGGGGTGTCCCCCAGTGGAGACTGGCATCCTCTGAGCCGGTGATTACTGTGGATGACTGCTCTGGCGGGTGGAGAGGGGAGGCAGAGGTGAGAAGTGCTACAGGCCAGAGGCCCAGTGCAAGTGTGACTTGGATCGGCAGAATCTCTGCCTGGCCAACAGGTCCTTCTTCTCAAGCACACTGTGACACGCCTTCCCCACATCTGACCCCAAACGATATGTGTATATGGGAAAACATGCTGATCTGTTCATCAGAAAGTCAGAGATAGGAGAATGCAGGGTCTGTCCTTAGCACAAAGGCTACCTGTGTTGTGGGAGATATATTGGTTTTCTGGGGCCATCATAACAAATCACATAACAAAGCAAACAGGGCTGCTCACGGCAACCAGAATTTATTCTCCAAAGTCCATAGTCACGATGTTGGCAGAGGTGGTTCCTTCCAGGTGTTATGAGGTCAAATCAGCCCCATGCCTCCTCTTCCAGCTTTGGGCGGCTCATGGCAATCTGGGGTCTCCTGGCTGCTGCACACATCACTCTAGTCCCTGCCTCTGTCATCACATGACCCTATCTCCCTATGAGTCTTTGCGTCCAAGTTTTCTTCTCTTAAGCAATTCAGTCGCTGGATTTTGGATATACCCTAATTCGTATGACCTCATCTTACCTTGATGACATCTGCAAAGACCCTATTTCCAGATAAGGTCACATTCACAGGGACTAAGAGGTAAGACTTCAACATGTCTTCCTGGGGGACACATTCCC